GGGACGGTGTGGGCTGGAAGATGTGCGGTTCGTGGTAAGCCGGAGGGTCTTTGCGGGGCGCCACTTGCGGCGGAGCGTCACATTCCTCCTAATTCAGCACACACACAAAATATTAGGTACAGCACTCAAACATAGTTCTCAGCAAAATAATTTTTTAGACAAATATTTCACATCAAAATAATTTTTAGAAAAATATTTCACATCAAAATAATTTTTTAGACAAATATTTCACATCAAAATAATTTTTTAGACAAATATTTCAAATCAAAATTGATTTTTCAGACAAATACTGTACATGTAGTTCGCAGCAAAAATAATTTTTCAGACAAATAGTTCACAGCAAAAATAATTGTTCAGACAAATAGTTCACTTCAAAATTAATTTTTCAGACAAATGCAGGAAAATCTCTTTACAACAAAGACATTGGAACCAGTAAAATTGCTTCTTTGTAAGGAAAAAATCGTTATAAAGGAACTCTTAATATTGTGGCTATTGGACAGGGACCTAAAATATTGAATGAGTGCTGTATTCACTGAAACACTGTACAACAAGCACCTTTTTTGAAATTGAGAGGGAAAAAGAGAGGGTGTGCATCACAGGCAGGGATAACATCTTATTTGAATCTTGAGTGTTGTAGTAAAAATCATGATTAATTCCAAAAGGAAATTGTATATCCATTTCAACAGACAATTTGAAAAATATTAATGATATTTATAATATTTATTTATTATTAAAATATTAATTATTAATATTAATATTAATGAATATTAATATTATATTATTTATTATTAATTAATTAATATTAATATTAATGTGAACATCAAATTCAAACACAATTTTAGTAAACCTTCAAATGCTGATGTATTTTATTCTAAAAATGTTTAATTTTTCAGTTTCAAGAAATAGGGTGCATTTTTTACTTGAGGATACATTCTTACAAATCTTATGCTGAAAAACTCAGATATACGCCTTATTTAAATGTGAATGTTCCTCCAGTAAATACAGAACTTGAAGGATTCCCCAACAACTTGGATAGCAACAAGTCGCACAGTTCAAAAACTTGCACATTTTTCTTTCCTTTTCTTTTTTGCATCTATTTTTTTCCATTCATTCTTTGCAGATTGTTCCTTGTCTGGAGGGAGTTTGATTGTGTGCTAATTCCTCATAAGGACAATCATGGAGCCCTTCTGTTTCAATTCACATTGAAACAGAAAGTGGTGTCATGGTTTCACTTTCAAAATCTGTATCCTTAATTTTAGAAATCCAAGGGCTCATACCTACATATTTGGAATGACATTCAGTGGATATAAAATACCACCTAAACAAATACTCTAGCAAAGTTAGTCAAATGATGAATATCCCTGAGAGTAACTGATGAAGTGATGTTAATATTTTATATACATATTTGGAATGTCATTCAGCAGATATAAAATACCTCCTGCGCAAATACCGTATTTACTCCAGTACCATGCGCACCTTTTTTTCTCAAATTTCAGAAGAAAAAAAGGGGTGCACGTCATAAGTGGGTACAAATTTTTCAAGAAGTTCTAGGAAGTTATGTGTGCATTATACTTAATTATAATGGAGAAATTTCAAACAGATGTAACAAGAAAACTTTTTTGTACTGAAAAAGTTGAAAATTGATCCTATTTTTGTTCAATTCATGTCTGAAGTCAAATTTTTTGAATTTATTTTCGAAATTTTGTGGTTTCAGATTCACTAAAAATTATGGTGTGCGTCTTACTTTGGTATACAATTTTAGCCAAATTTCCAACTGAAAAACCCCTGTGCGCACTTTACTTGAGGGAGCGTGGTACTCAAGTAAATACAGTAATCTAGCAAAGTTAGTCAAATGATGAATATCCCTGAGAATAACTGATGAAGTGATGTTGGCATTTTATATCCTTTGAATAGCATTCAAAATAGGTATGAGCCACTGGATTCCTAAAATTAAAAAGGATACGGATTCTGTATCCTGTGAATATCCTTGACATCACTTAAGGAGCAATCAGCAAAAAATTCATGGAAAAAATTAAATATAAAAGAAAGTAAAAAAAAAATCTGTGCGAGTTGTCGCTATCCCAGTTGATGGTTTTTGCTGCGCAAGTTGTTCAGCAACCAGCAATAGGGGTTAAATTTGCTCACTTGGCAACCCGCCGGCTTCCTTGGCTTCGGTGGTACCACGGGCGCCACTTTCCGCGCATCACTGGCGTAGTCTCCAGCTGCATGCGTCAGCCGCATGCGCGACAAATCCTCAACCAACGAAAGCGGCAAACGCGATCCATTCATCACACCCTTTAAATCGCGACGCAAAAAAAAAAA